CAAAAATACTAGCTTTCTGGTAAGTTCATGGTTTCTTTTGGTTAACAGTACAAGGGTATGGAAGTCTTAGGGCCAGAGACCAGGATATAACGTCAATGGTTCAGAGGTCAAACGCTGTTTTCCTGGCCCTGCTGTGTGTCTTACAAGAGGACTGGTAAATAAAAATGTTTAATGTAACACTTCTCAAGCTGGGCTATGTGTACTTTCAGCAGTGGTCTTCTTGAAGAAAGACTACATTTCCCAGCCTCGTGTAGCAACGAGTGTCACGTGACTAAGTTCTGCCCAATGGGATGGAAACAGAGGGAACTCTTTCCTTCTGCTGGCTGGAATGTGGACAAAATAGCTGGAACTCAAGCAAACCTGTTGGACTCTGAAGGGGAAACTTCTGGTTCTGGATGGTGGAGGAACCACAGGAAGTGCCTGGGGATCATGGAGATGCTACACTATATCCTAAATCTGTATGAGAAAGAAAGAAATCTGTGTTTACGTCACTGTTCGTTTGAGATGTCTGTCATTTCCAGTCAAATGCCAATGAATGTGCTTCCATGGCCCCCTCACACATGAGACAACTGACGTGAAGGTCTTTATCCTGGAGCATTATTTGTACTCAAAGATTTGAGAAAAATCAATTTCTCTGATTTTATATTTCCTAGTTAATTTGATCCATGAAACCCTCTGAGAAATATATTAAAAAGATGCACACATCATGGTGAAGAACAAATGTCTCAGAGACCTTTTTTTGCAGGTCTTGCTTTGAGCTGAGACTCCCCTTCTGCAAGGTCAGCTATGGGATCCAGTCTTCCATCTGCCCTGAGGAGAATCTTTGGTGGGGAAATGGAGCATACAGTTTCAGGAGGCAGAGAGGGTTGCGTTTAAACCCCACATCTACCACTGATCCGAGTCCCAATATGGCGTTGTGGGATAAAGCACTGGACTACAAGGCCAGTTTGGAAGATCGGCAGTTCAAACTCACTAGTTAATCTTTGGAAACCCTACAGAGGGTTGCTATGAGTCGAAAACGACTCCACAGCACTTAACAACAACTACTGATCAGCCATGTGAACTTGGATCAGTCACCTAACCTCTCTGACCCTCAGTCTCTTCCTCTGTAGAAATGGGAATAGTAACATACATCTGGAGAGCACTGCTGTTTGCTTCCCTCTCTTCTCTGACACTAACCTTGCCATTCTGAACACAAGCAAATCTCTCCATCTGAGTCACGTTCGGAGGCAGTTACACAAATAAAGATGGTTTAATAATTTCAGCATATTGCCACCGAGAACATTATATGAAAATAGAACTCTTTATTAAAAGAGCAAGGTGTCACAATCTCTGCTACTCATGAAACATTGTGTTTATAAAACGTGACATCAAAATCAATGACTTTGGGCAAGACATGGTTTTTGGGTCAAGAGAGTGGGCGGAGCTGAGCACCTCCAGCTCTCCCTTCGTACAGGGGACTCCTAAAGGTAGAAGATGACTCTGGGTAACTCAGAGACCAGGCAGAGTGAATGACTGACTCATATCCAGCCCCTTTTGCTCCCTCTGATTGTGTCCAGGGGAAAGTCTCCGGGTGGTACTGATGTGGCTTCCGTGCTGTGCTCACACTCTGCTGGTCTCACTTTGTAACAGCACAGATACGCTTGGGTTTGCAGGCTTGGTGGCACCTGCATGGAGCCCCCACCCCACCCCACCCAGCACATTTCTTTTTAACAGTCACTTTCTATTTTTGGCAGCGAGTGATACATGCTGCCCATTACTGGCAGCGATCAGAAGAAAAGTTCCGTTTGTAAACAAATTTACTTTAAAAAGTGAGTCTGTTTAAAGGAAACTATTTGATATATCAGAGTACAAAATATAGTAAATATTAATAATGAGGGTGATAAGGAAACATTTCATTAGGTCAACCTATGAGTGTTTCTAGCAGATGTCCAGCAATTCTGTGATTCTAAAGCAAGTTATGATGAAATACAATGATGTCCAGATACCTCCCCAATTAACCTATAATACTCATCTCTCCCTCTTCTCACCATTAAAAAAATCATGTCCATCCCATAGGACAGAGCAGAACAGCCCCTTAGGATTTCCAAGGCTGTAAATCTGTACGGATGCAGACGGCCACATCTTTCTCCCACAGTGCCTTCAAATCTTTTGGTTAGCAGCTCAGCACTTAAACACTGCACCACCAAGGCCTCTTCTTTTCTCCATGGCTTATATGAGAGAAGGGAGAAAGGGAAAGGGGAGGGAACAAAGGGGGCAGAGAGGGAGGCGGGCAGGCAGGAGGGAAGGGAGGAAAGAGAAAGAAAAGAAAATGAAAGACTGAAACAAGGACAGGTTTAAATCATTGTCTTCCAAACTGTGCTTCAATGTCTTTAGTACCAGCTGGAGCCACCTGGTGGGAGAACCACTTCTTTCTGGAGTAATTCCCAGGAGACTCCTCAACAGGGAACAAAGCCCTCTTTGAACACAGGTGAGAATCGCATTCAGGGAGAGCCCAGCCCTGATTTGAAAGGTGAAAGGTCATGAAGGATTCTTCCCACCTCGCCAGGACTGCAGCCAGGCAGAGATCTTCCTGCAGCTATTTCCCCAGCCTCTTCCTTCCTTCCGTTCTGAGCCAGGGATGAGGCAGCCGAGGGTTGCCATAGAAACTGGCTCTATCCTCCCACACGAAGCCGCCAGTCCTGATTTCCTGAGGCGTTAAAAAGCAGGCAGCAGCGGCAGCGGGGGTCACCCAGGCGTGAAGATGGGTTTCCCTGGGGATATCCCACCTCCTGCCAATCACCGTGTCTGTCTGGGAATCCTGAGGGCGCCTGGAGGCTGAGGGCCAGGGAAGCCCCCAAGCCCTGGTACTGCTCCCAGAAGAGACTGGCCCATGGGGCCTTCAGAGGTCTCAGTCCTTTCCTGTCAGCTAAAGCCAGAGGGAACTAGGTGTGTGTGTGTGTGTGTGTGTGCGCGTGTGTGTCTGAGTCCATCAGCTCTCCAGTGCCAAACTGAGCTACCCAACTGCCACCCTCTGGAGCCCAAGGAACAAAGATCTACCCTTCTAGCATTTGCTTCAGGGGTATAAGTCTATTCACCTGAGTTCTACCAGCTGTGTGACCGTGGGCAAGTTACTTCACCTCTCTGAGCTGGTCTCCTCATCTGTAAAGAAGAGTTCACTCTCCTCTTTGCAGAGATGCTTAAGAAGTAGAGATGCATCTAGAGGACATGCAATAAATAGGAACTAATATGAGGAATGGACTCCTGGTGTGGCACTGTAGGACCAACACTGGATTATGAACCACAAGGTCGGCAGTTCAAACCTACCAGCTGCTCCTCAGAAACCCTATGCAGGGTTACTAGGAGTCAGAACCGACTCAACAGCACAATATGAGAAATAATATTAACCATCACAACGAAGGTCTCCATATAATTTTTCTTTTTCATCTGCTCTTTTTCCTAAAGGTGAATGAAGATAAGGTAATTCTCATCACTGGGCACACCCAGAATGGGATGGACAATTGTTCTGAAGACTGGTTCCCATTTATGGATACCACTTCTCAGAACTAGAATGGAAACCTCAAAATCAAATGCCTTCCAGGGCTGGGAAGTACTCCAAATGGGGAAAAAGACCAAGTCAAAAGCTTGGGGAAGCAGAGAGCACGGGTCCAGTCAAAAGTGGGCAGCTGTTACTAAGGTCTGGCCAACAGAGGCTATTCGGATGTGAGCCCAGTGTAGCCAGATTTCCCAAGCTTTCAAGAGAATCTGAGCATTCTGAATCAACTTTTCCAGAGATGAAATGTCACGTATTATGCTTTTAATGTAGGTCAAATAAAGCATGGATTGAAGTCCTGGTATGATGCTGTAGAAAAAGCTCTGGGCTGCTAAACAGGACTGACTCAATGGCACTTAACAACAAAGCATGTGTGTGCGTTGGATCGTACTCACCTGTGGCGCTGCTAAGCTAAACATTGCAAAACCAACAACTCCTCCTTCCTTTACTAGACGGGTCTCAGCACCCCTGGTTAGTTTCTCCCAAATGTCTACCAGGGTTGTGTCCTCCTCAGTTGCCCTATCTGAGATTAAGCGCTGGAAAAACTCATCCCATGTTGAGCCCACATGAGCCTGGGTGTTTCATTGGTGGAATTTTCACCTTCCACGTGGACGACCCTGGTTCAATTCCCAGCTCATGAAACTCAAATGTAGCCACCAGTCACCTATCCACCTCTCCGTGAGTTGTTATGATGTGAGCAGGCTTCAGACTAAGACAGATTAGGAATAAAGACCTGGCAATGGACTGCTGAAAAATCGGCCACTCAGAACACTCTGCATCACAACAGTTCTATCCCATTGTTCATGCGGTCACCATGAGACAAGAACCAACTCGATAGCAGTTTACAACAACATCTGAACCAATTGTTCTGAGAATTCCCATGTTCTGTACCCAGGATATACCAGCCCCTGGAAAATCTTGTGTTTTCTCAATTCCCAGGCCACTCTGTGTCAGTGTGAATGGAGACATGAGGGCAGTGCCCAGGAAAGGAGGCATCCAAGGAGGCATGTATGCTAAGGGCACTCCTTTGGCTTTAGCTGATTTAATAATAATTTGGGGATTGAGTTGATGTCAAGGGACATCACGTTAGGTCCAGACTGGTGGTTTCTGGCCAGCATCTATTCTGATTGGCCGAGGCCCAGACCACACCACTTGTTAGGTACTTGGATGGTCACCCCTCGGGGAGATGGGGGCAGAGCAGTGAGGACTCTTTGTTCTGCTCTGTGGCCATCATAAGAAAAGAAGAGCAAGGTTTGCTGGGAGCAGAAAGAGCTTGACACTGAAAAGAAAAGAGCAGCAGATAATCCAGGACTTTCAATGTTTTCTCTTAATTCATTTTCTCTCAGTTCCTCTCTTCCTGCACACATCCTTCTAGCTAAAAAGCAGTACTGGAGGATGTTCACAGCTCTGCACCCAGGCGAAACTCAGTCACAGGAAATTGGGAGGGTAGGCAAGCCTGTTCTGGACTTCAGGGTCGAATTCGGTACCGGATGGGCACATCATGTTCCGGCTGCATCAGACCAAAGCCGTATCTGCTGAGGTCAAATTCAGGGATCTTCATCTCTGGGTTGGTCAGCTCCAGGTCAAAATGCAGCAACACCAGCCCCACAAATCTGCAGAGACATGGCACAGAGGCATCAAGGGAAGGGATAGAAATAGGACAGGTAAGTACACTGTCTTCCAGAGTTCGGCCCCAACCTGCACTCTGGGGAAAGGAGGAAAGTGAGAAAGGGAAGGTGTTTACCACTGAACAACTATCCATGCCCTCTCCTACTCCCTGTCACTAGTTCTGAATGCTGAATTCTGAGCAGAAGTAACTTGTGTCAGTTCCAGGCCATTATGACCTAGTGTGTGACTCTCAGCGGACCCTGAATTGCAATCAATGATTAACCCAAAGGCTGGCGGTTCAAACCTACCCAGCAGCACCATGGAAAAAAGGCCTGGTGATCTGCTTTTTTTTTTTTTTTTAAATAAGGTTTTTATTATGGATTGACTGAAAGTTGACAGGGCAGATCATCAGTTTCACATTCAACAAATGAAACCTTGTTTCATTACAATGATTATAATCCCCTCCATGTACCATCAGTTAATAGTATTTCTCTCTATTCACTTTAGCTTTTTTTTTTTTTTTTAAACACTCAGACATATATAATAATTTACACAACCAAAGGACGCATTCTGCAAGTCTACCTACTGGCTGCCAGCTCTTAGTCCCTCTCTTCCCATGAATCTAGAGTCCTCAGCTTTACCCTCTCTCCATGTCCCCATCTCTGCCTTCATGTCTCCATGTCCTCATCTCTGGTATCGCTGCTTCCCTGGATAAGGTCTCTCATTCTACTTGTGCTCTTCTCCCTTGACGGTCCTCGGGTCCTTAGTTTCTGGACTGTAAGATTAACTACTCCCCCACTTTTGTTACAAGACTTCTACCTTTACAATTAGGACAGTTGCAATTAGTCATGATAACAATTACTCACTGTTGAATCATAAGAATCTTATCCCCATCTCTTTTAACCAGACCCATCTAGACAAGATGAAAACTATTCAGTGGGACTCTTTCTTCCACCACACACTATTAAACTAAACTCCCCCTTGAAACCTACAAGCCAGTCACTTCGTGCCTTTATTGCCCCCTCATTTTAGGTAGCCAATGTCTAAGTTGCCCATCCCTATCTGCCCTATGTGCAGAGGGGATA